TCACTAGGGTTTGCCTGCAGCTGCTCGCAGCTGCTGATACCTGAGGAATGTCAAGGACGCTCCGGCCTGTGTACCGTGGTGTGTCAAAAACAGGCTAAGGGGAATTAGGAATATTGGTCTGAGAAACCTAGTGTTATGATAACGGTGGTCTGAAAAACATTGTGTTACGGTACTGTTGTGTATCGAAAACAAGTCAACAGGAATCAGAAATAGTAGCATGAGAAACTTAGTGTTATGAGAAGCTTGTGCTGTTAGCTAACTGCAAGTAGGTGGACCGTGCGAATACGACCCTCAGAGCTTAAGCCAATCAGCTAGTGACTAGTAGGCATAATTAGTAGAAGGATTATAAAAGGCTGTAATGAAAATCAATAAACTGAAGCACACTTTATCACTCATACTGAGTCGGCTGCGTTCTTCCTCCTTGGCTGGGTCCTCGGCTCGCCCAGCCCGGCACTTAATAAGTGTAAATATTGAAGTAGAATAATAAATTATTACTTGTCACCATGACACAGAAGTGTTTAGAATAGTTCCCTTAAATTTGCTTATAGCGTGTATATGCAAATGGTTATAATACTATAATGATATATCAATGGAAAGTTTTCATGCACACTGCTTGAAATTTATTACAAACATGATATAACTAATGCATTTCACAATGTACATATACATATGTAATATTATAAAGTAAAAGTACTCTTTTTCTATTTATACTCAAAAGCGCCCTGATGAATGAAAATAATTTAATTCGTTTCCTGCCAGATTTCATACTATTATTATGCATAACTGCTCTTCCACCTCTATAGCCCTGATCTGTTCATATTCTTTTTCCCATTATACAAGAAGTATTATATCTCATATATTCAGGAAGTGTTATATCAGTTTCTGAAAGACCTGAGAAACTACGGAGACTAAACTGTCAACAAAATATACAAATTATACACATTCTATAATACATTTGTGTCAAATAGAATACATGTTCTTTTTGCCTTACTGTGTGAATGCTCTCCTTGTTAAAAAAAAAAAAGAGCCAAACAAAAGAAAAAAAATGGCTATACTGAACAGTCTGAGCATTCTTAACTCTAAACATTTCTCTTGGATGTAGTTTCATAACAGTTTAAACCCGCATAAAGTGGCACTGCTGTTGCCATCCTTGGACCCTTATCTTCTGTTCTGTCTTTTGCCAGCATTAATCATCATCTGGTCTTACCATGATTCATCATAGGCAGTTAAACCAACAGAAAACCACTCATTGTTTTTTCTTGTAAAGGTTAGAACAAATGAAACTTCATACCTGGAGTAATTTTTGGCTTTCTCTGTGAAACCTGAAAACCAAAAATATCATGACAGAAATAATCTCCTCTAATGTACACCCTCTTTTATCACTTTTTGGTTTTTAGTCATCTGTGCATGTGATCTAGTCTTGAAATACTTCCTGATGTAAATAAAGGTGTATGATCAGCAGTTGAGATTATTATACAATTACAACCTTATTATTCTGCATATTATATATTGGGTAGGATTTGTTTGTTCAGGAATAAGTAACTAGTGTCACCAGGGGCATCCTTGTCAGATATTCCCTAAGACACACATGCAAGTTTGACAGTTATGACACAGAACTGTGAGAGTTATTTCACCCCTCTGAAATATCATGTGGGATGCCATATGAAGTCTAAAACTGTTGTAGACACCAATGTTTAACAACTAAATCCTACCACACATAACTTATTGAATATGGAGTGTACTCGACAGTGCTGATGAGAATTATGACCCACTCTTCCTCCAAAATCATGGCAATTGTGAACCATACAATAATGAAAATATCATCCATCGAGGAAACACTGAAACCTGGAAATTCAGTATTGACAGGTAATAAAAGCTGAAAATAATGATCAGTCTGAAAACCCACATACAAAAGAGAAATTCTCGCAATGATCTAACAGTGAATGATCCCACAGCCTCTTCCAGGGATTAGAGAGCATCCTGTACAGGGCCAGATATGTTGGATAACCCAGATTTAGCTGCATTGCAGAGGGAAGAAAATAGAAAATTTGCCACTAAATTTGACAAAAAATTTGGAAGTCCCCTAAACCAAAGCAAGCAAGTACCAAAGACCAATGTGCACAGGTAAGCATATTTGGCTCTTAATATTCAAAGTCACATCATGCAAAGTCAAAATACAAGCTACTGTTAGTGACAGAAATGTCTGAAGGCAAGCAACTCAAGACAGCAAAGGAAAAGGAAAGAGAGGTATTTGGAAAAAGTCTGAGTCACTGCTTGGTTTTATAAAGAACAGTCAGAAGAAACAACATCATAGAATTAAATTACCTTGAACAGCAAGTGATAGGAGTACATCTCACAGTGAAGCAAGAGTGTCAGCAAGAGATGGGAGCTGAAGATCTATCCTTTGAAGGATTTTGATGTTAAGTAGGCCATACTGATGTCAGTAAAGCCACATATTCATGGTAAACTAAATTACAGAAAGCTCTGAATCTACCAAACAAAGTGTCAGTAACTGTTCATACCCATTATTCCACATTATCAGAACTTGTTAAAAGCAGTCTATTGACTCTGAACGGAGTAACACAGGTTGCAGATAAATGTTAAGGCAAAAGCCGAGCAAAGTTGGTCTGTGTGCACTTAGCTGGAATGATAAAACTAGTTCTTGCTTCTTGGAAAATAACTATTTTTGAAAGAGAAACAAGTTTCAAAAATGTTCAGCAAGACTGAAGTGCTAAAATGGCTATCTAACAGTGCCTGGCTGTACAAGCTTCTACAAGTCTACAAGTCTTATACAGGTAGCTACATTACTGTACATTACCATATCCGAAACCAGACTAGATACAGGTGCTTAAACAAAAATAATACTGCCTGTAGTATTCTTGTGATATTACACAGCATCAGTAACATGCAGCGATCATTAAATTCACCTTTGTCAGAATTAAAGACTTCTTCCTATCCCTCACCCCACAAAACTGAGCAAAACACAGCTCCATAAGTCATTTGTCCCTTCACTTACAAAAAAAGGAAAAGCAAAATCAGATAAATGCCCATTTTCACATTCTTAATGACATAATATTTCTTGTAACCTGTAGGAAGTGTCATTCAACACAGTTCTCCATCTTTGACGCTGGAAATGGACACCACTTACTGTAACTCGTTACTTTTTAACATCCAGTCAGCTGCCCCAATTTCCTTCCCTCCTACTTAAACTGGCATCTCTAAATCCTTAGTATACCCTTTGAGCCAAGATCTGTTTGGAAAGAACAAAGTCCAATATCCTAGTGAGAGCAAAGCCCGTTGTATTTTCCACTTAAAAGCTTCCCTTTGGGTCCCAAGGATCCCAGGAGATCTGTACAGAACTGCATAATCTTTTGTCACTGTTTTATCTCCTGGTGTTTCCTTTTTTAAAAGCCTTTGATTCAACTCCGTATATACAGGATTAATAAGATTGTACAGAAAAGTGGAGGTCCATACAGTATTTATAAAAATAATAATAACAATGCAGAGTGTAGGAGTTACTTAAAATGAGGATGATTTGGTTTTTTTTTCCTCAGAAACAGATTACAAAGAAACAAAAAGAAAATATCAATATTAGATTAAACACAAGAAAATAGAGGTAGTATGCATATGAAATGGGATGACTCCCTGGTGTATGAGGGACTGTGGGCACACTGGGGAGGAGTAGCTCTGGGTCCTGGAGCATACAGAATGTGACCGGTGATGCAAAGCCAAAATGCATGCCCTGAAGCTCTGCCACCATCCAGCACACTCTGCTATGCTCCAGTTAAATCTTCTGGGTCTGTTCTCAGATTATATTTTCTGAGCAAAAATGAGCATTGTATTAAATTCTGATCTTTTTTTGTTTTAGAAATTGTATAGATTGACACTACCATTTTAATCCCTAGTCATCTTTCCTGGTTTTGTGAAAATAGATTTCAGTCTATGTATTTCTAAACAGCCTTCTTCTGAAATTGTTGTATATCTAGAACCCATCGACCTTTTCACCCTGAGTGAGTCTTTTCTGGGCTATGTTGCTATGAATTGAGGTTCATTCTTCTGAAAGCTCTGGAGTCACCCTGGTATAAAGCAGTATAAATGCAGGGTACTGGAGACACAAATTCTTTCTCTAATGGCTGACTAACTGTGGCCATAACAAAAATAAAAAACATGCAGAATCACATTATTTTGATCTTTCTGGGTAGCTTGAAGAGTTAAAAGAAATGTAACTGAAAAACAAGACATATTTTCAAATAGTTTATACATTCTTTCTCTGAAGCTTTCAGCAAACCTGTCTCACAGCAGAAATTAGACTAGCTTGGATCATGATATTAAAAGTTGTTTAAAAAAAAAAAATCACCCTAATTTCACTGAATAATTGTATATGTGAATAATAGTGCATCTTATTAGACTGGTTCTCTGCCATGGCTCTGCTCAAGATTATTTTCTTTCTTTTAGGAAGTCTCATATATGAACAGTAAGACATAATCTCTCTTTTCCATTTCCTCTACTGCATTGGCAGTAGAGGCTATAAACCAGGTTCTGCAAGCCTTGTCTTGGTGATGGAATTAATCACTGTACTATAACTCTTCCAGTGTCACAGAAATACATAATGTGAAGCCACCCTCTCATTCACTGTGGTCTACTGACACCTTATATTTACTCATATGACTTCTAAGAGTCTTTTTATATAGAAATGGCAATTGTCATTTGCTACTACATGTCAAAAATATGGGAAAGGGAAAGTCTGAAGCTGTAAGGTAAATTTGGCTTAATTTTCCTAGTCAATGCCAGTGGTTTGGATCAGCTGACAGTCCCAGACAGGACATGGGCATAAATAAGGGACTGTTGAAAATAGCAGCAGAGGTCATTCTTCTTATAAAGAGGAAACAGGCCAGATTTACAGTTTTATTGTGGTAATCTTAATTTGAATTAGAAGTTCAAATATTAAATAAAAATACCTCTTTGTACAATAGACTTCTTAAACTATGATTTCATTGCAGCTTCTATTCCTTGTCACAGCCAAAAGCACTTCAACAGCATGGATAGGAAGGGGAGGACTGCAGGGATGAGCTCCAGCTACAGAAACGTGACCTAGTTCTTCTGGGATCCTCACAATCACTGTGAGAAACAGAAGTCTTCAAGGTACTGCAGAGGGGAAATAAACTGGAGGTGCTATTTCCAGAGTCTTGTTTTTGCCTGTTGCCCATGTACTTTCCTTAACATCAGTTAGCCATCAGTTCTGCAGGAGGGGTAAATCTTGACCAGTTCTTTGTAGAAACCCCAATAGTAACAAAGAACATGTTAACATTTGGCAGCTTTGAGATGCCAGCCACCTGCATGGCTCCTGGTTTATTGTGTAAACTTCAAATGTGGATATACTTTTGACAAAAACAGCAGTGGGCCTACCAAAGGGATTACAACAAAGCTAAAAGGTTTGAAATTTGGGTCCCACTGTGGTATTATTACATTAAGCTGTATTTGAAAAGTGCTCAAATACTAGTTTAAGAGAATCAAAATAGAATAGAAAATAATACTATGATTTTCATAATCAATTTTTATATATGTTAACATTGTAGGGTTTAGTTACTGAAACAGTATTTCACAAAAAAAAAAACCAAAAACAAACAAACAAAAAAAAACAACCAACCAACCAAAAAAAAAAAAAAAAAAAAAAAAAAAACATTAGGCAGTTATGTAGAGTCTCTTTGTCATATTTATGGAAGAAAAGTAGAAAAGGTGATAAAATTACCACTAGCTTACAGGGCTGTGACATTGGAGCAAGGGAGAAATTACAGTGTGTGTGGCTGTCTGAGGTAAGCATATTAGCTGCTGAATGTGTAAATTGCAAAAATAACTTAGAAGCCAAAAGTGAGAACAAATGAGCAAGCAAGTGATCTAATCTCTATTGAAACACATCACCCATGTGATTTGTGGGGTCCCTTGGAAACAAAGAAGCAGATGAAGCAGGAGGAGCATTTGTGGTATCAGCAATGGAGAAAAATCAATAACAGATACAGTCTGAGTGTCAGAAAAATAAAGGAGCTTTCCATTCCTCTCTGAAAAACTGACACATTTGAAGTAGGGGAAGCCTGGGGTCTCATTACAGTAGGAGATACTCTGAGCTCTGTTGGCTGCCCACATTGAATGCTTAGTTCCTGTCATATGTAGTTTTATGGCAGATAAAGCTTAACTATAATTTTTACCTTTTTGAGGTAATAGCCTCAAAAAAGAATGTCTATTTTGGAGAGAAAGATGTAAATGTAAAACAATGCCATTTGTGGAATAAATCAGAGATAGGAGACATGCTTGTTTTGTAGACACTGAGAAACGATGAAATACAGAAATAGTCTTATTTAGGACACAAACTGTTCTTCCTCACACCAGAGCAGCCGCTCCTGAAGTGCTGCTGCAATATGAGTTACAGAGTGTAATAAATTGGATTTCACAGTCTGCTAGAACTGCAGGCAGCCAGCGCTTTGAGCTGCAGGAAACCCTGCTCACAGACATAGGGCTTCTGAGCAGCTCCAAGGAATCCTGGTACGAGACCCAACCTGTCAGGAAACCTCCAGTTTCACTGAAGGAGGAAATATGGGAGAACCACAAATAAACCACTTCTTAAAAGATTTTGGTCTAGAAAGATGTCTCAATGTAAGCCAGGCAATCCACATGAGCATGGTTCTCTGTAAGAATATGAATCTGTTGGTTTTGTTGATCCTGAATAGGCTGGAGGCACTTGCATCTGACTCCTCTGTTGTTGTTTTAGGCAGTGGACAACAGTTGCATATTTGAACCCCGTACACAGTTGTTTTCTTCTATGTTTCCTCTCTACAAACCTAAAAGAAAATAACAGGTGGAGTGATAAGCTTTAAAAGATAACATTTGCCACGTAGTTATCTTTCAGCAATGTCTGAAATCGCTACACTTTTTCCATGTAATTGGAACCAGATAGGTCCGTGATAATTGATTGGGAAAATATTGACCGTCTAACTGTTTGTTGGTTTTTTTGTGTAGTTTTTTTTTTGTTTTTTTTTTTTTTTTTTTTTTCTTCTTTTATGTGGAAGACTCACAGGTTTACAGTGTGTTTCCAGTTAATGTTTTCCTGTTAAGACTAACAGGCTAAGCTTAAAACCTGAGCATCCAGGAAGTAGTATAACCAACAAAGCTGGTTAGTTGTAGAAGAAAGATATAGAAAGAAATAGGAATGGTACACTCAGGTGAAACACGGTGAAACAGAATCTGAGATTACTTACTGGAAGGGTCTCCAGGGATAAATAAATAAATAGATAGATAGATAAATAAATAAATAAATGTAGTGAGTGCTACATTTGTCTTAGCAACAGTCAAGTGGGTAGCAAGGCTGATGGATAAAACTACAAATAGCGGTAGGAACCAGGACAGACTGTTACCAGGACTGAAATAAACCCTCTGTACAGACTCAGAGATTCTTAAAAGGTATCTACTACTACTGAAGAAGTCAAATAAACTACTATCTTATGGAATGACAAAGAAAATTGGCTCACACTTTTAGAGAGCATATGGTGTTAAAATAATAACTTACTGAGCTTCACCACACTTGAATCTGCCATTTTTTGACCCAACCTTGAAGTGGAATAATATCTTTATAGTCAATGATACTGTAACTAAAGCAGATTACAGTCCTCGTTAACTCTATCTTGAAATCTGAGACTGTGTCCACTGTTGTTCTACTGTTTGCATTTTCACAGAACTTGTAAACTGTTGATATCTATAGGGATATGATTGCTTTCAGCATTATGTATAAACAGAGGTAAAATATGATCGCTGAAGATTTTGGGGTATTTTGCAGAATTTAGGGTTTAATATTTACACTACATTTGAACTCAGGAAAAAGCGTCCTTACGCAGTCACACCTTCTGGAAATATTAGAGCACTACAACCCACAATTCCCCCTTCCTCTGAGAGCCAGAAGAGCCATGACTTTTCAACACTGATTTTCTTTTGGCTGGGACAAGACAGAAGCCATTCCAGGTGCCCTGTAGCAGCTCTAGACCACTGCTGGCTTATGCTTAGATAACGAAACCTAAGAGAAAAAGTGACTCTCCGCTGCAGAAAATAAGAGTAGGCATTAAATTTTTCTCCACTGTTAACCAAACTGAAAACAAAGCAACTCTTTATAGCTGTATTTTTTCCCCACTATGACTAGCTTTTTGTGTCAGAACTTGTCCCACAGTTTGTGTGGTCACACAATTTCAGGGAACAGCTACCTGTGATACAGGAACACAATCCTGGTGTTTATTTTCTAATTAAACCTCTTTTTTATCTGGCCCCAAAGGTGCTTTCAGCACCTTTTTGGCAGGAAACTTTAATTACTGTGTCAATCATCAGCACAAATCCAAGATATGGTGTCGTGGTTTAACCCCAGTTAACAATTAAGAACCACACAGCCACTCTCTCACTCACTCCTCCCCCACCTCCCTGTGGAATAGGAGGAAGAATCAGGGGGGAAATGTAAAACTCATGGGTAGAGATAACAACAGCTTAATAACTAAAATAAACTATAAAAATAACAGCAATAATAATAATTGTAAAGAAAATGAATATAACAAATAAAACCCAAGAAAAGACAAGTGATGAATAAAGCAAATACTCACTGACCAATGCCTGAACAATAATCTACCCCTCCCAGGCAACTCCCCCCAATTTATATACCGAGAAAGACATTATATAGTGTGGAATATCCCTTTGACTAGTTAGGATCAGCTGTCCTGGCCATGGTCCCTCCCAGTTTCTTATGCACCTGCTCTCTGGCAGAGCATGGGAAACTGAAACGTTGTAGTAACACTGAAAAACATGTGCCCACATTTGTTGCTAATTATGCTAGATTATGATAGTTTAACAGTGATTGTTACTGAGACCCCAGAAACACCCGCAAACACGAAAGAGAGCTGCAATATTTCCTATCAGACTTTACATTCCAAGTTCACTGGCTTTGGGATGACTTCAGTGGATGTACTCATAAACAGTGTAAATCAGTTAAAAGCACCTGAGCTGTAAGACTGCAGTTGATAACCTTTTTTTCCTTTTCACTTTCCCATTAGTTCATGCCAGGTGCTTAGTGATAGAGGTCACAGCCATATTAGATCATCCCTTGTTTCCTGCATGCATTTTCTTGTCCTTCATCACAAAGTAAGCATTTGATGAAGCTAATAATGTTGCAGATAATGTACTGATGATTCTTGAGAAGATAATTAAAAGAATGGTACAATGACTTTTACAGTTCAAGGAATAGATGCACTGATAATGTTATAAATCAAATCACCACTTGGCAAGCAATTGTAAAATGCTGAAACATTACATGAGCAGGTATTTAATATGTGTGCACTCAGAATATCTGAGGCAAACTGAATTCTGTTTTTATTACAGTTATGGGAAATAAAAGGTACTTTTTGAGACAAGAAAAAAAATTCACAATGACGTGAGTGGAAATCCCCCCTCTCCATAAACATGAGAACAATGGGAGAAAAAAAGGTAGGATACTCCGAGCTTTTTTTTGTTTGCCTGAGTGCTGTTACTGCTTTACTTCAACTGTTTTTTTAAAATCTTTTCTTTGTTTGTTGCAGTTACACTGGATGCAACATCTCTGAATCCATATGCTTCAAAGGCAATGCAGGCATGATATGGATGCAGAAGGAATGTTATATATCTTCATCTTCAAATTTAAGTTACTACTTAGGCTACACAGAACGAAGTCCTAGTGGACTAGGTGAGGTAATGTTGAAAAGGAGTTCCCAGGGTTGTGAAGTCAAGGCCCTGTTATTGCCCATATACCCATGCAATAGGTTATAGTTTGCTGAGAAAAATCATTATTATTATTACAAAACTCTATAAACTCATTTGTTTATATGGATGATATAAATGTAAAGTAAAATGATCTAAAAATTGCAGCTGCTTTAACAAATACCTATCATGAAATAGGTGATAAAATCTTTCCTTTTTTTTTTTTTTTTTTTTTTTTTTCTTCCAGAGAGTGCTACTGAAACTTAGTAGAAGAGCTTTTTCAATGGGCCATCTACTATACGTTAGATCAGATGGAAATTTGTATTTCTCATGGTATTTTGAATCCCAAGTATGGAACTCATACTTAACTACGTTGTAGACACATTTAAGTCTTAATTAACATACACTTCTGAAGCATTTGTCTATAAATAAGAGTGTGATAAAATAAGTGAAAAACACTTTTAATATAATTTACTCTTATATTTAACTTACATAATTGGAAGAAATACACAATGTAATAACAATATTGATATTGTTTACACATGTGAATACACATATTTAGGAACTAAATTTCAATCCAATCTGAAAATATTAATACAGTATGAGCTTTTAGTGGGCCAATCCATATATTATATCTTCCACAGAATGCCATTTTCAGTAATGGACACTAATAGGGGCTTGGGAAAGTGTCAGAAAAGAGCACAGTGATTGCCTACCTGGTATATCCCACTGGTTTATCAGTTGCTTGGTTTATGGAAGGCAGCTGAAGATCTGGTATTAGATATCATCTAAAATGTAGACCAATAAAGCCCTCATAAATAAAAATAAAATAAAAAAGAAATAAAAAGCAAAACCATACTATTTTGACAATATTGTGGATAAAATCAAATGGTTAGGAAAATATGCATGAGATCACTTTTTCACTGATACCAGCATTTGTAAATATATCATATATATCATACAGATTGTCTGGTAGATGTATGGTGGTTAAGTATTTGCAGTCCCTGCCATAGTAAGGGTAATTGCAGTTCATTAGCAGTCAGTCATTACTACAATAAGGCAGGCTTAAAAGAAAAATGCAGATTCTGTTACATAAGAAATCTGTTGTTCTCCAGAAACAATCATGTTGCATTTATGAGATGAAGATGAACAAAAGATTTCTTGAGACAGAAAACAGTTCGGATATCATTTTGTAGTCACAAACTACCTTGCAGTCGTGAGGAAAAAAAGAAGAAAATAAAAAATCCAAACAATATAGGTTCAATTACTTATACTGTTCTGTTAAGGTATAGCAAATCCTGGAGAAAAGTGTTGGAAGTTATTCTTCTGAAGAGAGTGAAATGTGATCATCCTCCTCTAGTGTATATCAAATTTACAAGCTGCTGGAGAGAGAAATACTGACACAGGACTGTCCAAAACTATCATTCAGTAGAGATTTTCTGAAAATGAATAAAGAGAATTAAGAGAATGCCACATATCTAAAGGAAGAAATTGAAATGAATGTGTTTAAACAATTTCTTGAAAGTGTGAATTTTCAAAGCAGGCACCTTTCCTGGTACAATCTGATTTCACTGTCAACACACTTCTAAGTGGCTTAAAATATATTGCCCTTTCCATAAGACTAAGAAGTCCCTGAAGGATTATGAAAATCTGAATTCTATTTCTTCTGACCAAATGTTGGAGGAACAGGAGGTGGGCAAAAGTCAAAATCCTAGATGTGACATTTATATCTTGACACTTGTTTTGTGAATGGCTCTAGGAGCTAAATCTAATCCTGAATGTTTTATCTCTCCATTTTAGGACGAATTGAAACATATTTAAATTTGGAATGGAAATGTTCTTAGATTAATAAAAATTCCTTATCATCATTACTAGCCAGATAGCATAAGATAGATTGTTATTTTTCAGTTAAAAATTCAGAGTGGAGAGTAAGTTCCTCTAGAACATATTCCTCCTGTATGTAGATCAGGAGTTGCACCAGGGACATAGGGAAAACTTTAGTTACACTTATAGAAACCAAAAGCAAATAAGAAGTTAAATCTTGATAATGATATTTAATTTTTCCTGATAAAAAAAAACTTTTATTTTTTCTATAAAAAACAAACAATATCAACCTAAATTCTGATGCTTCAGAAGCAAACTCTGTGAAACTTTGAGACCATCTCTGAAGTGTAAGGTATTGTATCTGAAAGTCTGAGAACACAATACATGAAAGAGTTGTGGGAATTGTTTGGCCTTTTTAATGGCTACATGAATATTTCGTCCATTGGAAATCAGTATGAGTCTGCTGTTAACTTCTACAGGACCACATATTTCAATCACATATCAGAAATCCTTGCCTTACTGTGCTATTGTCTGAGTGGCTGTTTTGTTCCTGTCTTGCCCTGGCTTTCAGGGATTAACTAATGTAAGCACCATGCACAGCCATACAAAATCATTTAAATTATGTATAATTTTCTTCCACATGTCTTAATTTACTATGTTCACTTTTATTCAGTTAAACACAGAAACTAAAACTTTAACACATCTGCATATTGCCAATTTATCATTATAGATGATAAAATGCTGCTGGGGAGCTTTCTTACATCCTTTCCCTGGGATTTCCTGATCTAAAACTCTTGTGGTACATTGATTCGATGCACATCTTCCTGATGTGTGAATTTGACACACTTTTAAATCTCTGTTTTCGTTATATACGGACTGAGCTTTGATAACCCTGGACTAATTGTGGGTGTATCGAGTTGACTTCACCCCTAGTGTGTGCTTGGGATGATCATAACCTTGAGAGAAGCCCACCTCAAAACTACTTTGGCACAGGGAACTCTCTCATGCTGTGTTGACCATGGCACAGGCTGCCCAAAGCAGGAGAACCTGCATGACACCTTCAGCAGGGACAACTTTCTTCTCTGTACTGCCTGTGGTGCAGGCAGACGACGCAGTTACCTGGGTCACCTTTGGATGGTAAATGCAACTAGTCGTAGCATACCGGCCTCCTGCTGTGAAGCTCTCTGAAGGTGAGGAAGCGATGCTGCATTTGTCTTCCATGCGTCATTCGGAAGTGAATAATGGTAGCCCCTTCAGTGAAGGTTATCTGATGCAATCCTTACAGAAAACACCCTCAGTGATATGAGGAGAAACCTGTAAGAGGTTTTCACTTTGTGCTGAATTTTAGTCCCTATGTCCTCACAAAGTTTTTATGAGATATGTTTCTAATTTGAGAATAAGTATTCAAGGAGTAGATGAGGAGAGACTAAAAGTAGGTAATGAGATCATAAATGGCAGTGGTCACTTTGACATGACATATGAGCAGGAGCCACAGACTCTTTCTGTATTGCTACCATCTGTCTCTATGGTCACTTGGAGAGTATGTTTTCCCTTTTAAATCTTCCTTAAGGTAAATAGGGACGTTTTGGGAAAGATAGGAAAAAATCTTTATCCCCAAATTCCTTTATTCCTTGCCCCTTTGATCCTGCCTGATTCATCTATCGATTTCTTCAGAGACATTTGGTTAGTAAAATGACTTTTATGACACTTATCCAACACATGCAAAGAAAGAATAAACAGCAAAAGGGAGCTGAGGGTACAATTTCTTCTCTGTTCCTTGCCTTGTGCTGGAGTGAGCTGCTAGATTCTGAAGTTCTTTGATGATATTCAGATTTGTACCAAGGATTGGCCTCTCACCTATACATCTAAAGAGCATTTCTGAATTCTAACCACAACTTCTACATTTCAGCAAATGCTTATCCTTGTGGAATACCTGAAATGTAGAAGATGCAAGACTACTGCCTGCTTTGATTCTGACATTGCTCTGTTATCAATTCCAAGTGTTTCTTTTTGAGTGTTTTGTTTCCTTTGCTTTTAGAAGTGAAATGTGAGAAGCATTTGGGATTTTTTTTCTGTCTTAGGATGTAAACTCTCACTCAAAACTTTGAGAGAATTGTTGTCAAGCTGTAGCTAAGTTACACTCCACAGTCTGATGTAATAATCCTCTCTATATCCACAGCTGACATTTGTACAGGCATGAAATTTACCATCTCGTGCACCTGATAACTTTCTTTGTCTACAATATCATGGCTCTAGGAAAAGGATTAATTTCCTGCTTTTCCTGTGTATCTTCTCTGTGGTTTTGATTATATGACATCCTTCTCTTCATTATGTATTTTATCTACCAAGCATAATAGAATAGGATTTCCATTTTACTACATATATTATTAGAGTATGTAGTTATAGGACCAAAAGTACTACTATGATACAAATCACAATTACAATAATAATATCCCCAGTAGAGCTCATAAATGACAAGTTACTAATTGTTTAAATGAAATAGAGACCTGACATTAAACATATAATCAAGTTTATTAAATATCTTTTATTCTTAGACCACCATAGACTGAAATCAAACATGATGCGCCATGTTAAAATAATTCTCTAAAAACATAGCTTTTTCAGAGCTTCTTAATCTGTCCCCTTATTGTCGTCACCAGAAAATCCCACTGCCAGAACAATAATTGTCCCCAGAACAACAGATTAGAACTTTTATTAGAGAATTAGGAAGAGTGTGAGGATTACACAAGGAACTAAAGCATATATATCTATAAAAATAATCCTTTTATGGAACAACATTATAAATGAATATTGCCAAAAATACATGGAACTTATTCAGCTTCTGTTAAAAAAAAGAAGTTAAACTAGGCATAAAAGCCCTATTAAAAAAAAATTTACAAAGACCTACTTTAAATCCTA